CTTGTGAATAGTTGTTCTAGAATGTTACCCATTAAGATGAATGATTATCTTGGCCACCATTTTTAAATCTCTCAAACCCACTTACATATAATTGATAGAAAACCTCCATAAACTAGATGTTAAAAGTCTAGGCAAATCTTAAATGTCACTTGTCTTTTTGGTAGACTTAACATTTTAAAACCAGCATTCAAAAACATGCATTTTGTAAATGAGCCCTGATTGTAATTTTTCGAAACAGATTTTGATCTAAACATTTGAAGCCCTAAAAATATAAATCACTACTGGTGTAACTTAGTCAACTGTTCAGGCAAAAGGCTTTAAACAGATGTGCGGCTCTAGATACGGATCATGTGAGATTAGTGTAAACCATTAACCTTTATTACAGCCCGTGCTTTCAGAGCAGTTTACAGCTAACGTCAGATCATATGAAACGTTGTCGCCCTCTGCTGCTCACTGTCAGCACTACAGTTGCACAATGTAGATTATTCCCAGCAGCTGAAGTACCACATGCATCTAAATCTTTGCACAATGACAATCTTATTGCCTAAAGAATTTTCTGGTCTTCCCAATTACAGTATATATAAATGTTAGTCGCTTGGGGACTCTCGAGCATCAGTTGAATTCAGCGGTTTGACACCAGCATACAGCAGAGGGATCATTATTGGATTAAGGTTTGGTGGAGCTTGATGACCTCATAACCCCTTTGTCCCTATACATTTCATGATTTTCTTCCCCAAGACTACGTTTAGCAAGAAAGGAAAATTCTGTTCTGAGATCTGTCCCGTACATACTTTGGTGTTTAACGTTACAACTTTTAGATCACATGCAATACATTTCACAATGTTCTCATAGGTAAAGCCAGGATTTTTGATAAAAGAAAAATCACAAATATGTTGGTTAAACAAAAATGTTTTATTCACAACGCAAATGAAACGGGTTTAGCGTTTTCCACCGACACGGGGTGCGTTGATCTTCATCGTCTTGGCGACCTTGGGCTTCGAGGCAGTCTTGGCAGCCGACTACAGAAAGAAATACAGAAAATAGTTACAAATCCTCATAAAACATAAGGTTGCTCAATAATCAAGTGAATACTAGGGAGCAGGCAAACAATATCTTAACTATGTGATTCATAACTTTGAAACAATATAGCATCCAACATTTATTGATGAAGGGAAATCACTTTAAAACAGCTCTATCTGTATGGCTTCAGATCTTACCTTTGCACTGGCGGCAGCAGGCTTCTTTGTCGCTGCCTTTGCCTTCTTGACCTCCTTGGCAGCCCTGATAGAAACAAGAGAAACAATCAGCCAAACTGAACAAGGAGAATATTTGTATACCATCTTCTGTCATCATGTCATCTTAACATTTGACAAGATTGCTGAAAATAGATCCAACTAGAGAGATCCAATCACAGCAATAACAACAACGCATTGTCGAAAACAAACAAGTTGTGTCAATAGTTCCAAAATAAGGCAGAGATGGTTTTGATGCTGGTAATTTCCTAGACACTTCATTGTAAAGCGATTCCAGAAGAGCATTTCAAGCTAAAACAAATGTATTTTAAGTAATGCTACAGAAATAACCAACAAAACAAAGAGCCAATATTGTTTCTTAAAAAATAAAAAACACATTCTAAGAGCAATTCTTTTTTTTCCTCGTCCACTTGAGAAATTTATGACATTAATCCATTTAAACGCTACAACCTACAGAGTTAAACTGATCTCTTCAGAATTGATATAATGTGAGGTTCTTAGCATTAAATGTCCTTAAAAAGGTTGCAAAATGACGGCTGTTTGCAGGGCTAGCCGGGGCAGATTACCACCGAGACGGCCGACAAAAGTTGACTCAAATTCCACAATTATAACTTTGTGATGTCTGTCCTGCTAAAGTGATAACCCCTTCATGTTTAAGTTATTCAGCCTGATTCAAGAGCAACCAAGAAACTGGATTAATCTTAGATAAAATCATGTTTGTGTCCTCACCTGATGGCCTGCTCCCTCTGGGCCTTACGGACCTCTGGCTTCTGGTTCCTCTTAGCCATGATCTCGGCCAGGGAGGCCCCAGTGATGGCCCTCTGGAACTTCACTGCACGACGGGTACGCTTCTTTGCGATCTCTTCCTGTTAACCCATTATGACAAAAAACATCACCACCAACATGCCCTGCTTCTGTTCACTGAACCACCTGAAAAGGATCCTACATAACGAGTAGTTTACATAAAAACATGCTGCGTTGAATCAGTAAACCTGCTACCCGATGGAGGTAAAAGCCGTGAACTGAACCACGAAACCTTCTGATCATAAACTGCAGTCTACCTCTTTGCAGATAGTTACCAACACTTGCATGTCTAGACTATACTTTTAAACGTTGGAATTCACTGTTTTTCAAAGTAGCGGCATTTAACATATTTCTAAGCACGTTATAGAGAGCCACCATGTCATTGAATCAGACAGCACATAATACAGTTTGAGTTGAGAATGATGTAGCGTGTAGGAGAATTTGGAGGCTGGCCAATGGAGAAATGTCATTTAAGACGTCAAGGACCAGTACTATGACCTCCTGTTGCTCTATGGCTGCAGGTGTGGAGTGAGCACTGCTGCCCAGCCTGCAAAACGCAGTCAGGCAACAGCACATGACACAGATCGAGACCGTGCACACCGTTCACCCTCAGCCAAACTGACGAGTAAATGAGACTGATCATCAGATCAATCAATATGGTTTTGTAAAGCCAAATTAAAATCCCTATGTGTTACACAACATGACGACATGCAAGTAGTGCCTTTTGAAACTGATAAAAATAATGAGTAACCAGCCAAATATCTGCACCAGACTATAACTTGTTTATCCAACAGTGCAGCATTAGAGCTTTAAATCCCACCACCACCCAGGTACTGAAAACAGTGAAGCCTGTTACTTACAGACTGGCCCTTCTTGTGCTTGCGTCTGTACAGCACAGTCCAGTTGATCTGTCTGGGATTCCTCTTGGCCAGGAACGCAGCCTCACATTTGCCATTCAGAAACTGAAACACCTAACGAGAACAGGAACAAAAGTAACATTTTTAGACCACCAGTTTACAAATCCCTATAAAATAGACTCTCACAGGTTTACTTTAGAATGTGCAATGAAGTGAGATTTCAGTCATGGATCATCATTTCAAAGCACTAATCACAGATCAAACGTTAACATCTACAACATTTGACATTGTAAAAGGATTGTTGGTAGAAAGTAGCACACATGCCAGTTATTTTAGTGGGGGCTGCTTTGAGAGCACATCAACTCATTTATAGCAATTATTTATGTATAAGAATTCCCCACTGTGGATATTGGGCGCAAACCACAAAACGTTCTGATCATAAACTGCAGTATACCTCTTTGCAGATAGTTTTTATTTATTTTTGATGGCTAAGGTAGTTAGGAGTTGCTTCAAAACCTCAAGGCAATGAGAAAGTTACCAACACTTGCATGTTTAGACTAGAATTGTAAAGGTTGGAAGTGCATTTAACATATTTCTAAGCACGTTGTAGAGACCCAATGTGTCATTGAATCAGACGGCACATAATACAGTTTGAGTTGAGAATGATGTAGTGTGTAGGAGAATTTGGAGGCTGGCCAATGGAGAAATGTCATTTAAGACGTCAAGGACCAGTACTATGACCTCCTGTTGCTCTATGGCTGCAGGTGTGGAGTGAGCACTGCTGCCCAGCCTGCAAAACGCAGTAAGGCAACAGCACATGACACAGATCGACACCGTGCACACCGTTCACCCTCAGCCAAACTGACGAGTAAATGAGACTGATCAGATCAAATCAATCAATATGGTTTTGTAAAGCCAAATTAAAATCCCTGTGTTGCATACAACATGCAAGTAGTGACATAGTGACAGGTTGGATAGCAAGGCAATTTATGACACTGTCTTATGTTATCAACATTTCCAAGCTCTACAACTGTTCTGAATGAACACAACAACACAGCCGCCTCAGACCGACAAAAAAGCGGCACATTAACATAATTAGTACATTGTTATGTTACTATGCTGTAACGCTATCAGTTAACGCTAGCAGCTAAAGCTAGCATGTTTCATAGCACTCAATGTAGCCGACTAGGCCTACTATACTCCAGGCAGGCTAGGTTATAAACTCTCATATTGGGCGACAAAGACAGCAAAATAAAAGTTCGAATGCGAGGAATTGTACTTCACACCGTATCTATAGGCAAGGCAGCTGGAAACCGGTTTCGTATTTGAATGGTTAACGTACCTTTCCATCTATCCTGGCGTATCGGCGGCCATGGCCGGGATATATTTTATACCCGCTGAAACTGCACAACTCGACCCTGAAAACAAGAAATACAAGGCATCACTAAAAGAAAAGGGTACACCGTAAGTGTTAATGTATATAAAAGCGTTATAATGTTTATTTAAGCGTTGAGATGGCATTTGATAATATTCTGTACACTCACTTCATGATGGCTACAAGAGGGCACAAAACCGGAAAGAGAGATGACGGCGGCGGAAACGGAATTGGAAAGAATGAGAATTGGTATTTATGAACTAATAAACGGTAAATATTTGTTTTAGTCTGTTGACGTGTCGTTCATAATGAATACACGATATACACATGTTGATAATGTTTTGCTTTCTACTTTAAAAATGAATACGTTAGCTAATCATCAGAAGGTTTACGTCACAATCTGACGGTTGCCTAGCAAGCGGTTGAGATGTCTCGTCTCTCCTCGTTTGATAAAACAATACAAAATTAATTATTTTAGAAAAATATTAAATGTACATTCAATTAAATAGCCACTATCAATTCGTGGGTGTTTTTGGTCATTATTTTTTTCTGTGTTCGATACTACCTTGTTGGCGGTAGGAAATGACGATTTGTGTAGTCTTCTCAAGCGACAGAGACCACACTCCAAACGAACGATGTGTCTTGTCTGGACTACAATTCCCCTAACCTCCTTGGTTTTAACCGTTTGACAAGCGACAGATGCCTCTTGTCTTTCACACCAGACTGTAGTAGCTGGTATAGTTTTTAGATAGCGTTAGGTGTTGCCTTATGCGACAGGATGGGGGTATCAGATTTACAATTCGACACAAATGCTGGTAAGTGGCTATGTTATTGGTTTTGTCAGACAAAAAGCGATGGTGCTTTTTTTGTGTAACGCTAGCCCTTGTGAGAAGGTTTATTATTAGCAACCCAACGTTAGCTTAGCTAGCATGTATCTCCACAGATTCCTGCACTGCAGTAATTATACAGTCTATGGTTGTATCAGATGATGCTGATCAAAACAACATGTGTCAATCCTCTATTGACAGGCTTACTTGTAGGAAAGATTAACAAAGCATAAATATCAGGCTAACTCACTGTGTTGTGCTAATGTTCTGCAAGTTGTCTAGGTAACGTTAGCTAAATAGTGAAAGACGAAATAATGACTTATATCTTTGCCATACTTGTCATTCTATAATTTCTACTGTTTGTATTGCTCGTAATTACATTCTGCACTATATAGTTTATACTTTTACTTGAACTACCTGCTGTAACTGCTGCCATTGTTTACTGTTCATACTGTATATATTAGATTTGATGAAATTTACTTTGTTGCTCCCAATTTGGGAAGCTGTTTTGTTAGCTTGTAAACAAGGCATTGCACATGAATTAACAACAAAATCAAATAGAAACTAAACACAAGTTATCTTAGCTAACATGCATCCCCACAGTATTTGGATGCTCAAGTACCTGCACTCTGAACAAGGAAAGTGGAGTCTAATCTGAATGTAATGTTGTGTGTTTTGTAGCCGAAGGGGATTAGCAAAATAAAAGTTGTTGTGGTGTCTCAGTCTGTCTAATCTCCACCTTATTTGCTCCTACAAGGACCTGTGGTGGATCTTTCAGCACGCGGTATGCAAAAGCTGGATCCGGATTTAATCTGCTCCGAGGACACTCACACTCTCATCCTGGACCGTAACCAAATAATGAAACTGGACTATCTGGAAAGGAGCCCTGGCCTTCAGCAGGTAATTACACTTTTAAACCCTTTGCTTGGTTTTACTATCTTCATTTACAAGCTTAAAGTGAACTTACTGATGACTTGGTGGATAAATATAAGTAAATGTTTTTGATTGAATGCCTTTTGTAACATATTTTTATTTTCCCCTTTAGCTATCTGTAGCCAGTAATCGCCTGGTGAGAATGATGGGTGTGTCTCGGCTAACAGAGTTGACAGTCCTCAATCTTCCAAATAACAGTATTGGATATATCGAGGGGCTAAGAGACATGCCAAACCTTAAATGGCTAAACCTGTCTGGGAACAATATTAAGGTGAGTGAGACAGAGTGATAGATACTGCATCTAATGTATTCACAATAATGTCATTTCATAGATCGAACAATTAGTTTCAGTTTATGGGTTATTAAATATTTTAACTGACTGTACACCCTTTTACACAGGTCATTGAGCAACTCAACAACTGTGTTTCTCTTCAACATCTGGATCTGTCTGACAATAACATATCTACCATTGGTGATGTGACTAAACTGGTGGCATTAAAGGTGAGCGCTGGGGTCTCTGAGTTCAAAAGTGAGCATTAAACAAACTAAATCACAGATCAGTTCTATTCTTTTCTGAAAACAAATGTATTCTTTGATACATTTCCTGTCCATTTTGCAGACACTGTTACTCCATGGAAACAGCATTACAACACTACGGACTGTGCCTGTTCATCTACCTTCCCAATTATCCATTCTTTCGCTGGCAGAAAATGAGATAAGGGATCTTAATGAAGTAATTGTTCTCTTACATGTTCAGCACTAATCTCCTTTTTAAATGATATAGAAGCGAATTATCCCTCACCGACTTTTCTTTGATTTTTCCATAGGCATCGTACCTTGCACCTCTCCATGAACTAGAGCAGCTTTCCATTATGAGCAATCCTTGTGTCATGGCAACCCCATCATTGCCGGGTTTTGATTATCGGCCATATGTTATGAGTTGGTGTCTGAGCCTGAAGGTCCTGGATGGCTATGTGGTGTCACAGAAAGAAGGGTGTGTACAATCCTTTGTTGTTACAATATGCCTGTTGAAGACAAGATGAACACAGGGGTACTGTATACTGACATTTGAATCTCTTACTTATGGTGTATACATGTCATGATTACAGTCTCAAAGCAGAGTGGCTCTACAGTCAGGGAAAAGGACGTTCATATCGACCAGGTCAGCATGTTCAGCTGGTTCAATACCTGGCCACTGTTTGCCCTCTGACATCATCACCGGCACTGGAGACGGCAGAAGACGCCAAACTGGAGAAGATCCTCAGTAAGCAGAGGTATAAATCTATAAAGGGCATTACTGCTTCACGACATAAAGCTAAAAAAACTGCACAGAGAAGAAAATCCTTACTTTATGGTCACAAAAACCCTGCCATACATCATTGTTTATAGAACCTATTTACTTACAATGACCTCATGTTTGCTTTAACATTTCCTCTGCCTCTCAGGTTTCACCAAAGGCAGCTGATGGAGGAGACCCGAGGAGGCTGCTCCAGCCTTCCTCGTCCAACTCAGCTAGATGTGGAGAGGCACAGTCCTTCACATCCCGTCCCACAGGGGGGAGCCAGAGAGGTGAAACAGATCGATGCACCGGCACCAGCTGCTGCTCCATCAGTCTTGGAGACAGGTGAGAGGGCTTATGTTGCAGTGCGTTTTAGGACCAGACTTTACTCCCTTTTCCACAGTGGAGAGAACACCCTTAGTGTAGACATGATTCTCAGCTGATTGTCATAAAACTGACATTAATCCTTTAACCAGCTAAATCTGTTTTCGAGTTTTTTAAGGTAGCGTGGCTATTTGAAAACGGCTAGTTTTTGTAGGATTTTCAGTGAGGTGCTAGTGAGAGCACACCATGGTTGTACTTTAAAAAGCACCAGGTGCTATCTACAACTTTTGCTAATGGCCAACTAAAAAATAGACCCATGTCAAATCATGCAATGGAAATGCGGTATTTGTCCATCCATGGGTTTGATGCATTGGACATCATGCTTCTTTTTTTTTCATCGTTCCTCTTTACAAATAATTGTGATGTAAAGCTTTCTGCATGAGTTTTTAACTGATGGTACGTCTTCTTTTGAACAGAGCCAGTGGTGCAGTTTAACACCTGGATGAGCTGTGATTCTTCCCACCAATCATTGCCTGTAGTTCGCAGCCCAAGGCCCAAAGAGGAGCACATCTACTTAGAGGATGTGCAGACAGATGAGGAGAAACTCAACAGCAGCATGCTTTCCTCTGAGTCCACCTTTCTCCCATTCACATCTGATGTGGAGCCACAAACAACACACTCTGACAGCGAGGACGAGACACAGACATTTGAACTGGACTCCCTTGCTCCAAAGTGGCCAGCACAGCCCAAAAACCACAACACAAACAAGACACATCAGGCACCCCCAGTGGATGTGCAAGAGAGCGGTCTTGAAGGGGAACTTATATCTGGTGCAGCCACTACAGGTGGATCACTGGGGGTCAGAGTAAGCACACCACAAAATAATCTGGAAACATCCTTTGACTTTGGTAGAGCAGAGACAAAAGAAAACACAGAGCAGGAAGAAGTCGGTATTTGTGCCAATAAATCAAATGTGACGGAAGCAGACAGGGCAGCAGTTAAAATCCAGTCATGGTGGAGGGGACAGCACACTCGCTGTTATCACCCCATGGCCAGGGAGGTGCGTAATGAAATCCGCCTGTGCAGGATGCAAGACCACATCGTCTCCCTGTCTGGAAAGTTAGACAGGTAAGCGACTGACCAGCATTGTTATTATCTTATGGCAGGAGATGGTTTAACAAGTACTGCCCATGATTGTGTTTATATATAAATACATATTCACTTCTTGAAGGCTACTTAAAGGTAACAATGGTATTTGTTTGCAGGGTGCAGCAGCAGTATGAAGAAGAGCGGTTACAAAGGCTGGTTCAGGAGGAAGCTGTCAAGTTCCTGTGGAAACAAGTCAGTGGTTTAAAGTCATTTTTAATTTTGGTACCGGTCTTGCTTGAACGGCTATGTTAATGATTTAATGTAGTTTTATCATGTTTCAAATAAATTATTGAACTTAGTACATTTTTAGTTAGTTTAACACTGTCTCTGTGTTTCCCCTTTAGCTCCAGTCCATGCAGCAGTGGAAGCAGTCTGTGGAGCAGCAGCTGTCCAGCATCAGTCAGGCCGTCACCCCCGCTCACATCTCCGCTCCTGGACTGTGTGTCCCGCCTGTTGCATCCAGCACGGCCATCCCACCCAGCACAGGGGCCTCGTTCCCAGACTCCGGCTTCCAGTCAACGAGTGATCAGCTGGCAGCGCAGGAGGACAGCTTCCTGAGCAGCGGGACAGCAGACTCTCTGAAGACGGTGCGAGCACTGAGCTCTGTTTGTAGCGGTGGTGTGGACAGCGCAGACTGCAGCCTGCTGGAGCAGTACCTCTCATCGGTGCAGCAGAGGGAGGAGGAGGCTGAGGAGGGCATCAGTGATAGAACAGAAACACCACAGCCCTCCTCACCAGCATCACCCAGCAAAACAGCACAGTCCCCCCCCCAGGAGGCTGCAGACAACAAATCAGAAGTAAAATGTCTGAAGGAAACTGTCTGAGGGTCTTCACCTAACAAACACTGTGCACTATTACTGACTCATTTGGCACTGATTGCAAACTCGAGATGCATTGCTCCCTCTTGAGACTTTGTCCCTGCACTTATCTTGATAACTGACCCAAATCTCATATAACGGTGCACCCTTAGTTTCCTTTGTTCATCAAGACTGATCCGAGGATAGGCTTGAAAACAACAACTTACTGTGAATGTAACTCACATGTTTTTATACTTCACTTTGTTCTGATATTTAACATTTTCCTCCCTGTGTAAAGGCAACTATTGTGATGTAGGTTAGGAGCATATTAGTAGCTTCAAAGCAATCATTTTAGGATGAAACACAGTAGGTTTCTACCTCTTCTGACTTAAATATCAGGCACAGCATATCCTGTTTCCTTTCTAAATATCCACTCTGTCAAAAACATGTAATTAGCTTCAGTTAAGCGGCTTAGGAATTGTGGAATGTAGTGCACAAAGCTATATACTACCCATAAACAACAAGCATACTATTTATTATCACATACAGGGTTAACAGTTTTTATCACTTAAGATCACCTCAGAATGTTGTAGTGTCTTTATCTTTAAAAAAATGTTAATAAAGCTGCAATAATTATTTTCCAATATTTGTTCTTTGGTTATAATATTATGTTGAAATTACAAACTGTATTTCTGTAAAGAAGGTATATTGACACTCATTCATGGACAACAACCTTTTTTTGTTACAGCACATTATAATTTTTGTATTATTTTGGTAGGTATTTGTATAGCCTGATTGAATGTGTGTTTGAAGTATTCAAATAATTTATCTAGTGGCAATAAAACTGTAAAAGGTGGAACCTTAATTAATCAATTCACAATATACATCCCATGCTTTTGGTAGTTTAATCAAACTATGGATCATATTTATAATCTGATCATATTTTTTGTATTTCAAATCCTAACTTGAAAAACCAGAAACTCTTATCTAATGTAGTGAAGTTAAAATAGCAATATTTATCTCTGAACTGTAAAGTATAAAATGGCCAATGGTGATAAACTGGCTCCACGTTGTATGTACACTACCTGAGTAAATGTTTACCAGGTCATAATGCATGATAATAGGCCTATACATGAGAATTAGTTAATAATTATGCATTTCCTCTCAATGTATTTTGTTGTGTGGAGATACGTTATCTATCCTTTACTTTGAGAGGCTTCCAGGGTTATTAATGTGCTTCAGTACTAACCACCAGAGGACGCAACAGCAAGACCGACGTACCCTTTTAAACCCACCCCATCCCGGGTCCTATTCACCGGAGCTGTCGGTACCCAGGACCATAGGCTGACGCTCCTCCAGCCTCCTCCAGTCTACCATCGACTCTGAGTTGCCACCTAAGCCGCCAGTGTCGCCTCTCCTGCGGACAGAACCGTTAGCATCACCCCCCTCCCGGTCCTCCGGCTGTCCAACGGTCCAATATCCAGCTAACGGTTACCATTCGACGTAAGTAAAGGAGCATATACGGCTCTTTAACCGTATATAACGTTAGCTGGTTTAACATTAGCTTACATGATTGTATACATATAAATGACATTATATGTTGAATTTTACACGTATGTTTGACATATTATATGTTATTATCCCGGTTTATGTGTTGTTAGCCGTTCATGTGATAGAAGCAGCTAACCCTAGTGATGTAAATGTACTTAGTTACATTAAACCACTGTAGATTTATGGGCTCAGAACAGTCTCATAATACACACAGGCACACAGAAGGATTCACACTTGTATTTCATGATCCGCAAAAGGAGTCACACTTCTATTTCCGGATCCACACTTGTGTTTTTCAATCCACACACACACATGTGTTCCGTTTCATATACATGTAAATAAAATCCAAATACAGAAAAAAGTTTTACATAATGTCTTTTTGATCCACACATATTTGTTTTCCGTTTAAAACTGCTGCACCTGCAAACACAACCCGCTTTCTGTGCATGGATCGCAGTGCATTCGTGTGTGGTTTTTTTTAGACTCCCCTGACGGTCACCCGATTCGTACTTTTTTCTATCTATAGCCAGTGGCGGCGCCAGGGTATGCCTGGGGTAGGTTACATACCAAGAAATGGCCCCACCTTAGCCCCACCCACCATGACACACTCCTACCACAAGGTATTGTTGTGATCTATGTTTAAATCCACATGTAAGGTAAAAGACCTGGGGCCTCATTTATAAAGGGATATACGCTCAAAAAATGGCGCCAGTTTCTACGCAATGTTTGCGATTTATAAAATACTAACTTGACGGGAAAATGTGCGGTCCTCCACGCAAACTCTAACCCATGCGTACGCACTAAGCACCACAACGGGAGAGACGAGAAACTGCGACACCGTTGGCAGAAGGAAGAATGGAAAGAAATATGTGGAAATAATACCATAAATAAAATGTTACCTCTCATTTATCAAATATGAAGAATTTATTTTCAAACATTGATTAAAGCCAATCTTAAAATTATTAAACAAACGCCTGTTTGAGACTCCTCAGTGCACACAAAAACATAACTTGGAGAAATAAATAAATACGGATATGTTATTTAAAACCACCTCGAATATGTTGTGTTCATGTTATGAAATGTTTTCTCATAAATGATGCGGTAAGCAGGAGGACAGAATTACGTCTAAACTGACGCCGTTTTGCATTTCTATAGGTTGTAGATACGAGCATGGTTTTATATACTATCACGTTTAATCGTGTTTTATGCCGTTTGCCAAGACTTGATAAGTCGCTCGTAAAACACAGGAGGTATGGAAACTAAGAACACCATATGTGGTAAATTGTACAGCTAATATAACACATTATTTCCTTTAACTGGAGGATTATGGATATATAGTTGCTGATCGACAGCTGGAACACAAACCACCAAATACAACAAAATAATTCAGATCCAGTCGACATGACTCCACTCCGGAGGGATTCCCCGATCATTTCTTACAGTTTCTCATCAAGGGGGTGTCTCCTGTCCCCGGTACAAACACTGCCTGAGGAAGGTTATGTGTATTTTTTTTGTCATTAACTTTTATCGGACCACTTATTTATTTATTTTGGTGACGATCCGACCTCCATGCTGCTACTCTGGTTCAAACTGCATCCACCAAACAATATGATTTATCTCGACCTCCCCAAAATAACCAAAATCTGACACGGTGTGAGATTTCTTTTTTAGCTGTTCTGTCGTAATTTTTCTTCGTGCAGTCAGTCAAACTGAATGAATGAATGGGCGTTTATTTGACTATTTATAGGCAAATATGGGCGTTGCGAGTCGATTGTGATTTATAAAGGGAAACAGGCGTAGGAAGTGCCGTAAGCACTTCCCTCGCCGGTACGCAATGTTTTGTGAATCGGAAAATGTCGAAAAATGTCTGTACCTATTTTTTTGCTTTGTACTACGTAAGCAACCTTCCCACGTCAATCCTACGCAAGGCGTTATAAATGAGGCCCCAGGTAGGAACATTGCAGCCTTTCATTGCAACAGGGGATCAAGATCCTTCCTACCGCAACACGTTGGTAGCTCAAAGCAATTTCTTATCAGGAATCTGTTAATTAGTGCATGCCGTGCTAGTTGCAGTCTGACCTATCGTACTAAAAAAGGAAAGCTGTATAGAAGGAAAATGCAAAGAGGTTATCACTGTGGAACATCATCATCAATGTGTCCAAACCATTTTTTATAGATGGACATTTGACTGTGCATACAACTGATTATCAGTTCACAAAATGCAAGTTAAAATATAAACCCAAAGCAGAAATAAACGAAAGGTAAAGACAATATGATTTTTAAATGTTTCTTCATACTCATAGTACTTTGTTTGTTCACCCTTCTCGATTACAGAGTTTGGCAGTATCAGTCGCTGAGGATGTTATGATGCCATCATCGCCGGTGTGACGACAGATTGAAACCGGGCCTGATCATGGGAGACAGAAGGAGGTCACCATGTGCAGAAATGTGTCCAAATATACCCTCTTCTTCCTTTTCCTAGCCCTGTGCGGCTTCATCTTCCTGTTGCGCAACATTCACACTGTGGAGGTGAGGAGAGAAGTTTGCTCCATGGGTTTACTGAATTACCCTACTATTACTTCATTTCATTTTGATATTGCTTTAGCTTATGCGGATAGTTAAAGTACAGACAATTCCTTAGAAACTGAATGGAAATGTTATGTTTTATATAACTTTTGACACTAAGGATGACTATCATTTCTCCACCTCTAGTTTCTAAGATCCCCACGTTTATATATGTTTAGTACTTTATGTCCTTTTTTAAATGTTACACAACCCTTTGTTTAAAAAAAATGACATTTAAAGTATTATTCTGGTTTTCTTTTTGGATTTGTGCTTATATGATATTGCTTTGTAAATCCAAAACCATTTACTGTTGTTTTATGTTGCACTTGCAGATGTTACTTAACTTGCTATTTTTGTGCTGTTCACTTAAACTTGCACAGCACTTTAGCCAACTCCGGTATTTATAAACATGCTATATAAAGAAACTTGACTCGACTCGACTTTTACTGAGAAAGCTTTTGTAAAAAGTATTTATTCCTTTTATCAGGGGTAGACATTAAGGGTAGGGCCAGTAGAATTGTATTATCACTGGCCCCACCATTGTAACCACTGGCCCAAGAGCATTCGTCCAAAAAATCGACTAATAATGAAGAAAATGAACACATTTGTTGCAATAGTAATGTATGCACAAACTACATTACTACTTGTACTACAACATTTGAATCATCAGTTATTCCTCATTTTCCTCAATTCTCCCTGTCACTCTCCTTTAACTCCTCCAGTGACATTCTTTTATTTGAAGATTGTTTTTTGCCCGGCGCTTGGCCGGTTACCGGTGGTTTTAAAAACATTTTGGCGAATGGTTAGGTGGAGCTAAAGTCTGTAGTGAAGGAGCGCGCTCCCGCACGGGAGACTGCTCGCACTGTGCTCCGCAGCAAACAGCTGTTTGCTTTTCACCCAACAACGACAACCGCCTCACGAAACTCTATGTTGTAGCGTTAATAAACGAAACAATTTAACAAAATTGCTTGTCAAAATACCTATACCACAGGAAAAAGCAATATTTTTAGTGGCCCGAGCGGACAAGTGGAAAGTACGTTAGTGTTTAAATAGTGCTTCTGGGCCAGCGGGCCATTTATAATGTTGAGCCCTGCTTTTATGGATTTTTATGATAGGCCGATGGTCACATGTCTTAACTCTCCTTCCTTTCTCTACAGAACTGGAACTGCCACACTATCTCAGCCCTCTACCAGCTCCAGAGCAGGATCCAGTCGTCCTTCCTCCCCGTGAATCTGCCCACCTTTCATCACAACCGCACCTTCTGTGCCCATCTGGGCCAGAAACCAACGCCTGAAGATGAACTGGAGGAGCGCTACCTGTTGGACTCCATCACCTGGCCTGGACCCCCGCCTCGCTCCTCACCCCCCGCCCTGCGCCAGACGAGCGACCCCGTGCACAGCCTGTTCGCCGTCCTCCCCACTCAGGGAGGGAGGGAGTGGCATGTGGACGACCAGCTGGAGGCGCTTGTCCAAATGCACGACTTCCAGGGTCGTCCAAAGCGCTACGGAGGGGATTTCATTTTGGCCAGACTGCACTCCCCAGAGCTGGGAGCAGGCGTAGCGGGTAAAGTGCTGGACCACAAGAACGGATTTTATTCTGCTATGTTCCCGCTTCTCTGGGTGGGTTCTGCACAGATTGAGATCACACTGGTGCACTCGAGTGAAGCTGTGGCTGTGCTGCGACGGCTGAGGGAGGAACGGCCTGATCGGGTGTTTTTTAAGAGCCTGTTCCGCCTGGGCTTCCTGTCTGAAACAACAGTCTGCAACATGTGCCTGCCCCCTGAGCAGCCTCTGTGCAACTACACTGACCTCTACACCGGCGAGCCCTGGTACTGCTACAAGCCTAAGATGCTCAGCTGTGACAGCAGAATCAACCACGCCAAAGCAGGCTACCAGAAACACCTCATCACCAACAAGGAAGCGCTGCTCTTCCAGAGGTTTGTACTGCGGAGGAAACTAATCGTAATATGATATATATTTGAGATGTAGTAAGGCATTATTCTCCAGACCAAAACGATAAATATATTCATTTTTCTTACAAGAGTTCGTTTTCAAAGCATAATATATATATATAAGACTATAGCCACATAGCTGATCCGCAGTGTAGCACTTGCTAATCTTTCCCTTTTTTACTATAGAACATGGACACTGTAGTTATTTTAATTTTCTTAAAAGCCTGGCTCTAAAGTATTCTTAAGAAATAAGTGAATTATAATCCAAAAACAAAGTCAAAATAAGTCCAACGAATGGATGAGAGGAATCTGTAATGTCAGTAGTGTAGGGAGTTGATTCGTTAAAACATGTATGGATGTTGGGCTCTAAAAACGATAAAAAAGCAACTAAAGTCAAGGACACAGAAATGTGGAAAGCACTCTGACAAAGAAAGGAGGATTTATTGCACGGGGCAACCAGGCACAGGACTGTCCTCAACAATTAAAACCAGTTTAACGGAAGTTAAAGATTGAATAACACCAGACTTCAGAGGTTCAAAGCCTTTATTGTCATATGCTGTAGTTATGGCAATGAAAATCTTAAAGGGGACCTATCATGCAAAATGCACTTTTGTACGTCTTTTATACATGAATATGTGTCCCCGGTGTGTCAGGGAACTCACCAAGTGTCAGAAAACACAACCCTCTCTCTTTTCCTCCATACCCAAATCTCTAAAAACGGGGCTGCAACGGATCTGTTACAGATTTGAAATTGTTCTGATGTCAGAAACGGGGAGCACGGCCTATATGGGCAACTCTCCACCTATCAGGGGAATGGGGGGTTGGGCCACGGCCACGGCCATTGCCACTCGAAAGCGCTGGAGATGCTGTAGTACATATGCCAGGACTGTAAGTGGCGCTGTAGTCTGCCACAAAAGCATCGAAGAAGACTTCTCACAGAATCAGCCCTTGCAAAAACAGGGCTGGAAAAGAGCAAATAGAGCGAAATGAGGCATGGCTAAAATGCATGATCTGTTTGGTATTTTGAAAAAAATACTTCACAGACATGTTTTATATAGGTATGGCCCTACAATATATTATTCAAATATAGCATGATAGGTCCACTTTAAGTCTTAACCTTTACCTCATTCATTCTTTGTCTTTTGTCATAGTGGTGTAAACATTAAAGTTCCCATACACGCTTCAGGACCCGACAGAATCGACGTGCTGCCCCCCAGGAAAGGTACAGTATCCCTGCAGAGTGTGTGCCTCATGTCCTTTGCTTTGATTTATTCCATTAATTTAATTTTGTTTGCCACATTTCTCGCTTTGCATTAGAGGTAGAGGTAGAAAGCAGCAGTGTAAAACCAGAGCCAATTAAGCTAGCCCCGTCTGGATATTACTACGAGGACTCATGGAGGCCATTAAGTGGCATTACAATGCGCCAGTTCAACGAATCATCCGCTGTCACTCAGTGTTTGAAGAACAAGGTGATCAACATGTACGGAGACTCTACCGTCAGGCAGTGGTTCGAGTACCTCATCACTTTAGTACCAGGTGAGTTATCTTTTTCCCTCATTCTCACACTAACTTGTATATTCCCACTGCAACTTCCATCTGTTCCCCTTCCCCAGGGTTGAGGGAGTTCAATTTGAACAGTCCTAAGAACGTGGGGCCTTTCATGGCGGTGGACAGCACCCATAATATCCTGTTGAAGTACCGTTGCCATGGCCCGCCCATCCGCTTCTCCACCGTCATGGCCAGTGAACTGCGGTACGTTTCAAACGAGCTGGACGGCCTCTCCGGGGGGCCAAACACTGTGGTGGTCCTCAGCATTTGGGCCCATTTCAGCACCTTTCCTGTGGAGGTGTACATACGGCGGCTGCGTCACGTCAGGCGGTCGCTGGTGAGACTTCTGGACCGGGCGCCGGGGACGATGGTTGTGATTCGCTCGGGGAACCTCCAGGCCCTGGACCCGGAGGTGAGCCTGTACAACAGCGACTGGTACTCCCTGCAGCTGGACGAGGTGCTCAGGTCCATGTTCAAGGGGCTGAACGTGCTGCTAGTGGACGCCTGGGAGATGAGTTTAGCTCACCACCTTCCTCACGCCCTGCATCCTCCGCCGGTCATCGTCAAGAACATGATAGACACGCTTTTGTCGTACGTTTGTCCAGAAAAGACAAAGAGACAACTTACATAGGAGAGGATGACGATACTGGATCTTGTTGTTGAGGAGTTCATTATGTGATGTTTTTTCCGAAGGTACACACCCTTTAAATACGATCTTTAATGAGAGATTTCCTGATTCAAAGTACTGTTCTCTGTTTTGGTTTGTTTTTAAACTAATTTTGTTCTGAAAATGCCAAAGCCTTTGGCGCAGTGATTGTTACTTTCCATCTGCTTTTGGTACCAAAGTGTTGTGTGTGTGTGTATGCATTTTTAAAGTAATAATCACAAAGATTTACCTTCAAATGAATGTATTTTAAGTGATTTGCCAAATGAGGTAACCCTACAATGAGTGGGTCTAATGGTGAAAGTCTTTGCATTGGTAGCATTACAAACAGGGTGTGGCATATTCCTGGGAAAATGTACAAGCTGCACAAAGTTAGTCAAGCTTTTCCCATCAGCCAGCTGTGTTTGGTTTGCCAAAAAGAATAGGGCGCAGCTCATGTAAAAAGACTAGCTCTCCAACTCTCTTGTGTTCATTATTTTCTGGTCTGAGCTTGCACTGCGAGTAAGTATCTCCAAACAAAATAAAAATGAATACAGACCATACAATTAAAGTTAAAATACTTACGTCACACAGGCAAGTTTTAAAAACCCACCTGGACATACTGCTTACCGACATGGTTTCGCCAAAGAGAATTAAATGGAAATCATCAAGACTTTACGTTGTCCATATTTGTGGTTGGTATGCTTTCAAGGTTGCAGTTTAAACTTTATATTTATGAATATCTTTGTTCGTTAGTTTTGCCAAAGCTGAAGACTCAGTGAGTTTTCATCTCGAGATTTTCCTCAGGCTGTTCGGTGTTAAAATGATATTATGTTCGGATGTTGACTACACTTAATTAGGTCAGGCGATTTAAAATGAAACTTTCTCTGATTATCTGTTCTGCAAAATGCTCCTTTGTTAATTATCATCTATAAATGTGTCTGATTTTATAGTAAATGTTAATTTAGGTGTTTACAGTACATATCAATGGAACTTCTTTATCAGACCAAAGTTAAATACTGACTGTATTTATATTACTTTTATCCAAATTTCTTTACAAATTTCTTTTAAAACGTGTTATTTAAAGGCAACCTGAAACTCTTTGGTTGGCCATCATTTTGCACAATTTACTTTTGGGATTTACTTTCTGCTTGTATATGCTCAAACGTCACTTTGAAGGTCTGGCTTTATTTTTGTATCTTTCGAGTCCATCCACATTGTGTCAGTTCCTATTGCTAATTTAACTTTCTACGTTAACTTTTCTTTTTGTTATCCTTTATGCCGTCCCATGTTTATCGTAGGAAGACAGCGAAGTTTGAAGGAGAGGTGGTTATCAGGTGTGATACAAAGAGAAAAATGTGCCTGTCTAATCCTGTTTGCCTCTGACGACGATCAGACGCCGACTTTTAACAGACTTTGTCAAAACTCATTTTAATAAGAACAGCATCGTCACTGTCAAATGTTTGCTTTTATAACTCTTAAAACGAGCAGCTCATGACTCTGTTTTGTCATTCGCTTTCTCAAACTGGAGATTAGATTGAAGAAGCTTCGAGATTAAGGTACATAACATATCAATAAAATGTGGGTATGATAATTGTCACGATAAATCAGGATCATGACATGGTGATGCATCTGGTATCTTGCATTTTCCTGATCTTAAAACCTTTGGTACATTTCAATAAACTAAACTGTTAACACGGCAGCATTAGTAGCTCTGGTTTTTTGTTTAATTTAATTTGGTGTGTGTGTGTGTGTGTGTGTGTGTGTGACACGAGAGATGTGGCAAAGAGGGTATCATTAAAACACAGACACGGCAATAAATAGGAACAGCATTAACCGCTTCACTCACACGTGTTTTTTAAATAGACACAATTTACTGCAGATGCTCATTCCAAAGGACTTATAATTAAAATGCTTTCTGCTGTAAGTTAAAGGGCTCTCCTATAGGGAATTATTTGAAATGTTCACTTGTTTATGCACTAAAGAGGAAAACAATCTGGGCTTCAAAATGTTTTTCAGTAATTTCATTCCAAGAATTTTAAAGAAATAAGAGGATTATAAAGAAGTGGATTAAAAACCAACCATGACGGCTTAAATGTTAAAAAGACGTCGACAGAACAAATGAAAAATCAGTGCAAATAGCTTTCAGATGTGTTTGGGTCTCGGACAAGCTGAAAAGAAAACTAAAGAAAAACTATTATACAACTTGCTGGCAATGGTTAAATCCCCAATACATCAGTCCTTGCTGCTTCCTGTTGGAATAACATGCAGGAAAGAGAGGCTGAATACAGGATAAACAAAACATAGCAAACAACTGAAAGACTGATAGACTGAAAACTGTGTATGGGTCCACCAGAGATGTGCAGTTTGCTAGTGGAGCCCCTTCCCGTGTCCATTCGCGATGTCTCGCTGTCTCGCAGACCCCACGCAGCTCCTCACAGCAGCGAGCCGCGCAACGTCCCGCCAACACGGCACCCAGACCCCACGCAGCATTCTCATCTGTTTGTCCTTACTGGTGTCATGTTCTGGTTGCTAACGCCATTGTAACACATAATCACTGATGTTCCGCTGTAACGGTGGTGGACTCATCAGAACAGAGTGGGCGAGCTGACCAATCAGAGCACAGTGGGCTCATAGGGAGGGGGGGGGGGGGGCAGGAGCTCCAACAAGGCGTTTAGGACAGAGAGTGAATACACATACTATACAGAGATGCTGTATGAGAAACCAATGTGAGTTTGGAAAAGTAGACCTAGTAGACCTCAACAATGGAATTATGATCAGTAGAAATGGCCATGTCATGGGACCTTTAAGTTATAAGTTAGCTAAATCAATAAAAAGTAGGTAAATTATGCTTGTTACTTGAATTTGCTTTAAGAAAAAATAAACAGCCTACATCCCAGCTCTCCGGAGTTTCATTTAATTTGATAGCCACTGATCCCTTACAACAGGACCCCCAGATAGATTATTATAAGAAGAAATAGGAAGGGTATATTTCAAGTTTGTTATGTATAGAAGTTATTGGGCTTTTTTCTTATCGACTTAGATTTGTTAGAAAATATTTTCAAATCTAATTGACTGAATTTATTGTAAATTAGGCTTATGAACACATGATCACTACTGTGTAATATATGTTTACAGATATAATTAATAAGTACAATACAAGAAAAGCTCAAGTTTCATTTGTGGGCCGTATTACATTATACTTTTTGAATTTGCTGAGGGCCAACTCAAAATGTTGTGGTTTGGACACCTCTGCACTCGAGTATTTCATGCAGTCATTTTTTCTCAAAGAGACTACTAAAAAAGGAAAAAAAAGCCAGGACTCTCTCACGTTTAGTTGACAATTTTATTCAAAAAGTTTCATGTTCCCTTTAAAAACTTCAAGCATATCTGTCGGTACTAAAGCTTGCAGAGCATCATGTTGGCTAGGAGTTAAAGACACAGTAAAATATACAGTTCATCGATAACTTTTGGCAAAAACACCACAACAAGCATAGGGCTCTGTACAAAACTAGAGGAATAACACACCATTGTATACAAAAAACTGCTTTTTCTGAACACATTCAAGAGAACAAAAGTGCTTTCCATCCAGAAGAACGGACTCTCGCGGGGAAACAGAATGGCAGGCTGACTGTGGAGTGTTTTAGTCTCGTGAACAGATGGGAGTGTAAAATTGGAGAAGTGGCTACAGTGTCGAACCACATTTGTCTTCTTTGTGAAACCACTGAACAATGGTTTATAGTCAGAACATGGGACAGTGATGTCCTGAGGTCACACAGGACGAGGCACTGAGAGGTTCTGTTCAAGGTTTCAAGCTACAAAATGAGTCATCTGTAGATTTCGGTCAAGACAACAGGAAGCATTGTGCATTGCTGTGAGAATCTGCTCTCTGATTTCCTGCATTAGCTCTTAGTCTTCTGTCAAAAATGAATTTAGCGTTGCGTAAACAGCTTGACAATCTAATGTGTATAGATTTAGTTATAGCTAATGACATTTGATATGCTGGGTGTGTATGCAGCTGAGAGTATTTCACTCATTCAAACCTTCAAACTGGTACAGAGAACTGAAAAGACAACAATTAAAGCTCTGAAAGAGGAAATAGCAACTTGTACTTGACAATATGTGTCGTAGAGAATAACAGTTTGGCATCTATTATATGGATCACTGTACGTCTGCAAGGAGGGCAATAACATATTAGAGAATAATTGGAGGTTTCTGGGTAGAGGCGATGCATAACTTGTACTTTACACCACGGCAGCATAGTAGGACGGAGTATCAGGGCCATTTTAGGTAGAAACAATTTTTAAAAAAGAGCTGTTGGAGGAGGAGGTTATATTTTGAGATAAAACTTGTAAATTTAAGAGAAGAAAACCCACAAATTCACAGGAAAAATATTGTAATATTCACTGAAATCCTAAAACCATAAATCGAAGTTCAGAAATCATAAAGCCACACATTTACGAGAGAAAAAAAAAACGTTGAAAAATAGTGGGGTTTTTCTTTTTAATTAAGACACTTTTGTGTAGTTTTATTTTTTCTTCACCTGCGATGGCCCTGATACGCGGTCGTAGCATATTGATTTAAGGATAGAGATAGACCAATCACACGTCCTGCACGTTCATGGCCTCCTCCGGCCAGCTGTAGTTGTCCAGAGTGAAGGAGTCGTAATCTGGGCTGTAAATGTGAGACAGGACAAACGCCTCCTTGTCTATTGGCTCAGGGTACAGAGAAGCCATGTTGTTTTTGTATGCATAGTTGACAATCTGGCAAAAAAGGAAACGAATTAGATTTTTGAATTCCCCTCAAAACTTCAAAATGTAATAGTGCAGGAGTCACTGACCTTCACTGCGATCTTGAAGGACACCTCTCTGATGGTGCTCAGAGGAGGGTACAGCCTCCCCTCAGCCAGGTTCTCCTCCGTCACCATCTCAGATATCGCCTGGAACAATAAAGATGATATGACCAATAAGGAGAGTAAACGTTAGGTCAGGTTGTAAAAGTTACTCATCTACAGTCATAAGGGTTACAGTTGGCGGTTTAGGAAAGGGGAAATACATCTGTTAACAATGCTCTCTTAAAAACCACAAGACAGAGTAATTTAACCTTGCCGAACTCATGAGTCAATGGTCTAAATATATATACATATAAATATATATATGTATGTATTTACACATACATATCAAATAATATATTATAATATATATAGAAGATGGATATATATATATTATTCTGAAATGGACCAATCTGCAGAATGAGGGATTCTATTTTTGTACTTTTACTTGAGTAACATTTTGAATGCAGGACTTTTACTTGTAACAGAGTATTCCTACACTCTGGTACTTTTTCTCAAGTACACGATCTGAGTACTTCTCGCACCTCTGTCTACCTGTGTCACCATTGGTTGGTGTGTTAACATATTTTGTGACTGGTTAATTTGAACAATAAACAAAAATAACTTGTTATTGCCGCTGCCCTGGTCCCTTCCATCAACTGTAGGTAAAACACACACTATGGATAAGTACCTCATAAAATCACACTTCAAAAACGTATGTATCCCTTTATAAATACTACAAAGATGTAAATGTGAACTAAATGGAGGAAAATCTAGCTGGTGTCAGAGCTAGAGTTTACACTACAGATGTTATTTTACAAAACAAAAAGTGTATTGTGTCACAAAATCACGTCCTCCTTATACATATTATGGAATCATTGACGTGTGGTGACTGAGGACATTACCTCTGCTGTGGTGAGAAAGATGTCGTCAGATATGTGGCGCACTCCACAAGCAATAACGCCCAAAGCGACTCCGGGGAAGACGTAGGCGTTGTTTCCCTGGCCGGGGATGAAGCTGCGCCCGTCAGCCAGCGTCACTTTGTCGAACGGACTGCCACTGGCGAAGATGCCCCGGCCCTGAAGAAGAACAGAGAGGAAGAGGAGGATAGCAAGGAAACACAAAGAGAGAGTGTGAGTCACTTCAGTGGAAACAACAAAGTGTCCTTTGATTTGGGGGGCTTTTGGTTATGTGACTGCAGAGAGCTGAAATGTAAAAGTGCACGTGGATTCTTTTAGCAGTTTGATGCAAATTCACATACAATAAATTGCAGTGGTGTGCCAGAAAATGTAGCAATGCATCAATTCAAGCCAATAATACAATAAATACAGCTGGGAAAATAAGACATATTTCAAAAAAGAAATTTCAAATGTTTGAGGAAGAATATGCTGCTTTAAAGGTGGGGTAGATAAGTTTGAGAAACCGGCTCGAGATACACTTTTTGTTATATTCCATGGAATGCTCTTAACATCCCGATAGCAATGAATATCTTAAGTGCTTTGACAACAAATCCATAAAAAATGTCATCTGTGGAAGCCGTAGTACTGTAAAAAGCACGACCAATCATTTTAGCCGGCCCGGCTAAAATAACTGGATGGCCTTCCATCTGTGCACAAACTTATCTCGTGCCCTCATTGGTCATGTGCGCGTTCGTGTGTGTTGGAGGAGGGGCTCTGTAAGGAAGTGGCAGATTTTTCCGGTTGTGTATTTTCAAATTCTAGCGATCTCGAGCCGGTTTCTCCAAAATTACCTACCCCACCTTTAATGTTTCAGCTTCAATGCGTCTGATGTGTACCTCAGTGAGGTTGTAGCACTGCTCCGCGGTGCACTCGGCCTTGCTGGTGGGATTACTCAGAGCGAAGAT